CTGCTGATTTCTGAGCTTCTACACCCCACTTTCTCTCTACATTGCCCACTGGCAAAGAGAAGTCCAAAAAGAGAGAGGTTGTCCAAAGACCAATTCCATGAAGGGCTTCACTTTTCAAATAAGCAGTGTAACATGGATGATCTAGTACAGAAGATAGGAACAGGGAAATATGGCTCATGGGGCTCAAACCTGTTGGGGTCAACTTCAAGGTCAATTCCAAATATAATATCTATTTTGCCATATATGATACACGATTGAAATGTAGGAGAAAAAAGTATGGCCATTATCACACAGCAATAACCTTTTCCCAGTGAAAACTGTAGAACTCCAAATTACATCACAGAGACACAGGAACATTGCTTTTATTTGAGAAGATCCAGCCTACTACAAAAGCAATATAAAGTATGAAGAGAAGAAGAAAGGAGAACTGCATTTTCATTACCACAAAAACCTGTACCATTCCTCTTTTTCTGTGGTTGCTACTCTTTCATTGTCTTTCTGCTATTGATGAGAACAGGACCATGGAGGACAAATAATCAGCTGCAGCTGCAACTACTGCAGGGCAACAAATACCCCAGCATCAGTAAACACAAAAACTAGGCCAAGTCTCGGTGGTGTGCCACAGCATGGTCATGGGCTGAAAAACAACAGTACGGTGTAGGAAACAGATTTATTCAGCTTATGCCACACAAGTCGTATGAGTAATCTGGAGAAATTGCTTTTAACTCACAACCTGACATCTTTTGTGTACACATCTCTATGACAATTATGCACATTATTGTCCATATAGTCTTTTTCCAGCACCACAAAAGAAATGGCCAAAACACCCTTCACATATACCCCCCATTTACTGTGCCCATTTTTAATAGATATCCTGAATCATCATTATGGTCAAAAACAGAAGCAATACTGGGCTGCCTAATACCATCTCCCTCATTTTTGCCCTGTCATTCTACTCTGTGCTTCTAAGGTAGTGCTCCTTTCACATCTATTCATAAGACCTAGCAGTTGCAGCAACACTATTTCTCTTCTTAAATCAGGCAGAACTGTCAGAAATAATAAGTAATAATTAAGGCCTAGTCCATCATGTGATCCTTTCATGCTAAGACTGTCAATTTCCTCTTGCACTACTGCACAAGCAAATCAACTAGCTGCTTACTGAGATGATGGCACTGAATCCCTAGCCCTTTTAAAATAGTTGAAGAGACTAGCTTTAGGCAATGAAGGGATTCTTTGCACCAACACTGTTAGAGCCCCATCTTTGCTAGAACAGTGCTGCTTGTGTTGTTTTTTTCAAAGACATTTTCCAAGCATTTAAGAGTGTTACTCCCCACACCAGTAATACTTGGTCTAGTATGTAAGCAATGTTTGCCTGTCTTTGACAGCCTACTAGAGTAGTAGTTTTCACAGACTTCCTTATCCCATTGTATTCAAATATTACTGGAATTCCAAGTCTGCAAATTTGCAGATAATCCAGATAGAAAGGTTGAGTATATATTTGTAAACATGTCGTTGAAAGTACATGAATGGTTTATCATGTATTTATTATTTCCATATAAAAGCAGTCTGCAGGGTCAAGAGAGTTTAGAACTAGCTCTCTAAAAAAACTGTACTTCTGGAACAGGAAGGGCCTGCACAAGAGAATTCTGGAAGTTAACTTTAAAAGCTTCTAGCTGCAAACAAACAAATAACACCTTCATATAGTGAAAGTCACCCATCTTGGAGCCTGTTTTAATAATGTAAAGATAAGTGCGAAATAATGCAACCTACACTCCTCATCATAAACCATCTTCTTAAAAGAGCAGTCTAGACATTGCTGCATTACTGTTCACTGTCCTTGACATTTTCAAATATGCTTTATACAAATACAGTAAAATCTCTGTTATCCAGCATTCTACAAACCAGAATACTCTATTAACTGGAATTTCAAGCCAGCTGGCCGGACCGGGGGGTGAGGGGGACAGGGAAATCTCACATGCCACTGCCACCGCCACCCATCACCCATCACCCTGCACTGCCGCCACTCTGCATGCGGCTGCCGGCACCCCACCCTGCTCCACGTTGTCTGCCTTAGATAACTGGAACTTTTACATAACTAGCACCTGGCATTCCCCGCTCATGCTGCATAACAGGGATTTTACTGTACAATGTAAAAATAAGGTTTGGTTTTATAGCGTTTTAATTTCCTTTTTCTATACTCCCTGATCATAGAAACTGAAAGGTTGGCAGCCACTAAGCTTAACCAGCTTCACCTACTGTATAGGCAACATAGCTTTACAAGAGGCCTTCAGGAACAAACTCTACAAAATGTTGTATGTGGGAATTTCTTTGTATGTTTTTAATGCTTATCAGTGTAATGTGCATAGATTGCCTTGACAGACCCCATATCCCCCCACATTACAAATAATGCCCTGTGGCTTGTGCCAAAGCTTTTTTGAGTCTTGATACTAAACTTCAAGTCCCACTGACCACCCCCTATGCAATATTCTCACAGGGGTAAATCATGTAAATAATTTTCCGTGATTTACATCACTTTTCAAAAACTGTATTTTAAAATTATACTTAATCAACTTAATCATGTGTAGTGTTAACGGAGTGAAGAAATCCTTCCTCTGAATAGCACTGCCACTTTCTCTTGAAGTTAGGTAATAGTCTAATATTATTCTTAATCTCTTGATGACCAAGTGGATAGATTTTGGTATGAACTATGACAGGGGAAGAGAAAGCCGAGAGGCTTTCCCAACCCCCATGGAGATTCTCCCTATTCCCCACCACAGGCAGGGAAACACTGGGACAAGAGGCTCAGGCACAGGAGTTTCGGAGCAACCTGAACCTCCAGATTGAAAACAGAGTGAAGGGGGCCAACACAGAAGTGGCTGAACATGCAGCTAAGGGGGAAAGGGAGGGATGGGGCCCAGGGGAGACACAGGCCAATAGAGAAGCGGCCCAGCAAGTGGCCGCAGAGTGGAGCAGCAGGGTAACGCCACCAGGAGATGGAGCCTGGAGCCAGGAAGCCACACCTGGCCCACAGAGGGAGTGAAGCCAGCTCCGCACCCCAGCAGAAGAGCCCGAGAGAGGAGTGAAGCGAAGTGCAGAGCACAGCCACGATGGCACACAATATAACAGCAAGTTACAAGAAGAGTCACAGAGTGCTGCCAGGTGGGGCAGTGAAGCAATCCTGGCCCTGAGACTGAGAGGGGTGGACTGGGGGATGACAGAGAACCCCGTCATCAGGGAGCCCCTGCAAGGGGGCAGAAGTGTTAGGGATGAACTGGGCCCCAGAGCAACCAGTCCCTTAGAGAACGCAACCAGTCCCTTAGAGAACTGGGCAGGGCTGAAGAATGGGGACCCAGTGGAGGGACCCTATTGAAGCTGGGAAGGCACTGTGAAAAGCTGCCAAGTCCACAGCGCATAGCTTACAGCGGGGAGGCACAGCCCCGCATACATCTTGGCGGAAGTTGATTGTTCATGTTTTTTGTTGGTTTCCCTGAGTTTTCCTTTACAAAAACATTGTAAATGCAAGGCCGTGGACAGTTGAGTTATAGGGACATCTGCCCATAGCCAAAGGACGGTCTAAGAAGAGCCAGTGGCCAGAAGGTCTCTCATTTCCAACGGGGCATCCAGGTGAGAAGTGATCACCTGAAAGTGGGACCTCCAGTCAACAATGTCCATTCTGGCACTGGATGTGGTAAGGGTGGGGTAAAGGGGAAATTGAAGCCCCACAAAGACACCTAAGGTCTCATGAGCCACTTGCTGGAGCTCTCTCTCAAGAACAACAAGTCATGGCAGGAAAGCCAGAACAGTGACCAGAACCTGCAAGTGGCGCTATGTAGAGTCCCACCTTGACATTGCAAGGGGATAGGGTACCAGTCAAGCAACGACCTAAGCCTTACAATACGTACCAGCAACAAACTCAATTATGAATATTAGAACTATTTTAATCTCGTAACTTGCTGTTCTCTCGTGCGCATTCTAGCATCCTAGAACTCTCCAAATTATATCTGGAATCACAGTATTCAGTTTCTGTTATAACTTTTTAATCAATCAGGTAATTTCTATTTGTGTGTGTGTGTATATATACACATACACACATTTATGTATGTATGTATGTATGTATAACAGGGAACCCTATCCCTGTTATGAGGCGGCAGGGCGGCCCCTTTAAGATCAAAGCCTTTAGGAACACAAAGTACCAGGAGGGCAGGGGTTAAAAGCCCAACCACACAGGCTGGTCAGCTGACAGGAAGGGGATAGGGCTCTGGGCACATACAACCCCCAGGGTGAGGCTGGCAGGAATTAGTTCTCTGGCAAGCTGCCAGGGTAAAGGAGCTCCTGCAGAGAAGAACTATCCAGGAATGTTGTGGCTGCCAGATAGACTATTTACAGGGCTAGCGAGGCTCCAGGAGTCTACAAGGTACCCAGAGCTGGGAGGCACTAAATACTCAAGGAGCAGTTTGAGGTTTTAAAGAGGCAGAGTGTGGCTTGCATGACTCATATTATGTTATAGCCCAGGGGCTCATATTTATGTTACTGTTTTAACCGGTGGACTGGCCTGAGGCTACTAGAGAGAAGGAGGCCTCACTATGGTACAGAGCCCCAGAGCCAGAGAGGGTGCAGAGACAGGACTGCAGTGAGCCTGAGGCCACTCAAGGCCAAATCAGAATGAAAAGTGCTAGTCTTTACATACCATCTGTGAGGCATGGGCCACCGTGTAGGGGAGGTTTGGAGCAGTGGATAGAAACCCTTGGTGTCAGGGTAGTAAATGGGCAGTAATATCATAATTATTTTTCCATCAAGGTGTGGCAGGTGAGAAAGGTGGGTGGTTAGCCCAGAAACAGAGGGTCAGGCCAATGTTGGACAGGCCCGGGGCTGGCCCCCTGTCACAGTATGTATGTATGTGTGTACATGTGTATGTATGTATGTACGTACATCTGGCTCAAGGATTTTGAGATCAAAGTTGTATATACTCTGTCTAATCACAGCAAAGACTAACTGCATACCTGTTCAATCCAGCCATACGAACTAATAGAAATACATTCCATTAACTCATCCTTGTGTCCCAGGGATCATATATCCATCCTACTGCAAACATGCATATCTGAAATGTAAAGAAATGCTGTATCTCAGAATGAAACATTGGGTGAGGAAACTAAAGAGAAGCTGCTTATTTTTTTCATTCTCTTCTTTATTTCCTGAAACTCAGACATCCCCCAATTCCACATGGTCTGCGACAGACAGTACATAAACTGGTTTGAGCTCAGTCAGTTAAGTCTGATGCTACATTTAAACAGGTTTACCTCAAACTGCTTTTGGCCATTTTGAAACTGGTTTATGTGCATTAAATGTCTGTTATGTTGCAGGTTTGAACCAGGTTTTGATCACTTAAATGGGTTTGTGTAATGCCTGTCCCTAGCTCATATGTATAGCAATTCTCTACCCCTTCCTTTTATATCTTTCTTCCTGTGACACAGAGCTGTGACTTTTTTTTCTTTTTTGGTGTTAGTTCAATGAGGGCACTCATATACGGTCTGTTACATTTAATAACAGGTCATTATCAGGAAAGCCCAAATTTCAGTGTCACAGTTAGTTACAGGTATACTGTAAAGTCAGTTTCTAACTGCAGACACTTCTATCCTTCATTACCCAGACAAGATTTCAGATGACGGTTATATTCTCTTATTCCTTTAATTTGTTTTTATTATTTCCATTCCCTGTATCTTTAACCAGTAATTATGCCTCCTGCATCTGTATAAAAGCATCCTTGTTATTCTCCACAGTTCCAAGAATCTTTCTACTTTTTGCCCTGGGCTTTCTCCTTGCTAACTTTCTGTTTATCAAAGATTATCAGATCCTAATATATATTTCCAAACTGAGATATACTCATCCACTACAACCTTTTCACTCAGAATTATAGGGAATATATACATAGTATGATTGGAAGATCATTTAATTAGCAGAAGACACACTACAGATTATCTTTTCACCATCCTAAAACATACCACAGTACTTGTTGTCTACTGCACTTGGGTGTGCCCATTACTTAGTTAATTATTGTGATGTTCTTTGGACGCACAAATTCATGTATGCAGTTATAAATGTACATTAAAAATGAAAAAATAAAACTCATTACAATGACATATTAGAAAATGATGCAGAGCCAACTCTTCTATATTTTAAGAAGCAAAAAAAGGCTGAATTCCAAAGTTATCTGATGTTATGATTCTAAAGTTATAGTTGTGAAACTGGAAGTCATTTTTTCTCCATAGTACGAGATGAAATGCTGCTATTTGGAATGCTGAAGGTTCATATTTAATCCCCTAAATAGCTCATTTACGTGGATGAGCTCTATCTGACTCAAGAAGTCTATGGACCAACGAGAGGCAAAGTGTTGCTCGACCTGGTACTGGCAACGGGGGATGACTTAATCAGTGACCTAACGATCGAAGGGAAGCTGGGAGACAGCGACCATGAGCTGATCACCTTCACCATCCACCGTAAAGCTGGCAAGTCAGTCAGCAAAGCAGAAGTCCTTGACTTCAGGAAAGCTGACTTTGACAAGCTCAGAAGGCTTGTTGATGAGGCCCTAAGAGACCATGACCCAAAGGAGAGGGGAGTTCAGGAAAAGTGGTTGCTCCTCAAGGGAGCAATCCTGGAAGTTCAAGCAATGTCTATCCCACCTCGGAAGAAAGACAGAAAAAGGGCACAGCAGCCCCCTTGGCCCTGCAGGGAATTAGTGGACCTCCTGTGTCTAAAAAGGAAGACCTATAAAGGATGGAAGGCTGGATCCACCCCAAAGGAGGAGTACTCTGCACTGGTCTGAACCTGTAGGGAGCGAACCAGGAAAGCCAAGGCTGCATCTGAACTCCAACTGGCTACACATATCAAGGACAATAAAAAGTCTTTTTTTAGATTTGTGGGGAGCCAGAGGAAAAGCAAGGGTAACACTGGACCACTGCTAAACCATATGGGTCAACTGACAACCGATGCCCAGGAAAAAGCCAACAACCTTAAAGGGTATTTTGCCTCAGTTTTTCTCCAGTCCCAAAGGACGGCCCTGCTCAATATGGTACAGGACAGCCAAGACGAGGGAGAATTATTACCATTCATCAATGTTAACCATGTGAAGGAACACCTAGAGAGTCTGGACACCTTCAAGTCAGCTGGCCCAGATAGCTTACACCCCAGGGTACTCAAGGAGCTGGCAAGCATCATAGCTCTGCCACTGGCACGGATGTTTGAGAATTTGTGGTGCTCAGGTGAAGTGCCCGAAGATTGGAAGAAGGCCAATGTGGTGCCTACCTTCAAGAAAGGGAGGAAAGTAGATCCAGGGAACTACAGGCCCATCAGCCTGACCTCTATCCTGGGGAAGATCTTGGAAAAAAATCAAAGAGACCATTCTTGACAAACTGGCTGAAGGCAACTTCCTGAGGGATAGCCAGCACGGGTTTGTTGCAGGTTGGTCTTGCCTGACGAAACTCATCTCCTTCTATAACCAGGTGACCTATCACCTGGACAAGGGAGAAGAGATTGGCGTCATATATCTTGATTTTAAAAAAGCTTTCGATCTGGTATCCCATGATCATTTCATAGAAAAACTGGTGAACTGAGGCTGCGGCTACATCACAGTCCGCTGGCTGGGGAATTGGCTCCGTGGTCAGACCCAGAGGGTGGTAGTTGACAGAAGTCAATTCGTGTGGTGTGCCATGACCACTGGGGTCCCCCAAGGCTCCATGCTTGGGCCTATTCTTCTCAACATCTTCATTAATGATGTGGGCATTGGTGTCAGAAGCAGACTGGCCAAGTTCACTGATGACACCAAACTTTGGGGTAAAGCATCCACACCTGAGGACAGGATGGTGATCCAGGCCAACCTTGACAGGCTTGGAAAATGGGCAGACAAAAACCTGATGGCTTTCAACAC